CACACCCGGTTGAAGCCTGCTCTCTCCCTCTCCTGTGGAGATATAAACAATACCCTCCCCTTGGCTGGGTTAGTGCCCTGTTCCCCACTATCCATTCTTTTTTTTCTCTTTTTCTTAATCCCTTATTTAGTTGGCTGCCATATGTATCCCTGGATTGGGTTTGGCCCCTGCCATAGTTGTGGACCTCACACAGGAATGTATGTATATAATAGCTTTTCCCCTCTGCCCCGTTTTTGTTGTTTTTTTTAAGCGTACCTCACTGGGCTCATATTGCACTTGTCCTTTTGTGCTTGACTTACTTCACTTAGCATGATTTCCTCCAGTTCTTCCCATGTTGCAATGTGCTTCATGCGTTCATCACTGCATTTTAGAGATATGCAGCACTCCATTGTATGTAAGTACCACAGTTTTTTGATCCATTCATCTGTTGATAGAAATTTGGGTTGTCTCCAACCCCTTGCAATTGTGAACTGTGCCGCTATGAGCGTTGGAGCACAGATGTCTGGCTGTGGTTTGTTTTTTGCCTCTTCCGGGTAAATACCAGGAGGGGGATTGCTGGGTTGTATGGTAGGTCGATTTCCATCTGTTTTAGATATCGCCAAATCGATTCCTATAATGGCTGTCCATACCTACAGGTCCACCAGCAGTGGACAAGAGTTCCTGTCTCCCCACAGCCCCTCCAACACTTGTTACTTTCTGGCTTTTTGAATTGGGCTATCTTTGAGGGTGTTAGGTGGTATCTCATAGTTGTTTTAATTTGCATTTCTCTTATGGCTAGTGATTGGAAACATTTTCTAATAAGTTTATTGGCCATTCAGGTTTCTGCCCTTGTGAAACTTCTGTTCAGGTCCTTTGCCCACCTCCTTAGTGGGCAGTTCATTTTTTTCTGATTGTAAGCTTGCACAGTATTGTAGATGTTAGTAATAAGCGACATTGTCTTTTTGTCGATGAAATACTCGCCATTCCCCTTGAATTTCTTATTCCCTGCGTAGTCAGCCATACGATTTTCTGATTCAAAATGGCAAATACCAGTCCATTTCGGCTCACTCGTGTCTAGAACATCTAACTTCGTGTGTTCTGCTTCTGCTTCGCGTTTGACGGCTTCCAGTTTTCCAAGGTCCAGCTTTGTGCCTCCCACGTTCGGGTCATTTGATGTTTGCAGCGGTTTCTTCTCCTCTTGCTTTGTGCCCCGTCAGCCAATGAAGGGCCTGCAGGCTTCACTCCCACAGACCGCCCTCAGCCCACAGCACCAGGGTCGGCTCCACTTTGAGAAGGCAGCTCTTCCTCCGTCTTAGGTTGAGCCCTTCTGTCCCGGGGGCTCATCCTCCGGCACGATCTCTGACCTTGGTCTGCTTCCGTTCAGGAGGCTTTCAGTATCCGACAGCGTCTCCATACTCTCCATGAGTGTGTTCGGTGGTTCATTCCTCCAACGTGGACAGCCTCTCCCGTCTCTGTAGTCTGTTCATCGTCTGGAAGCTGTGCCCAACCCTGTCCACTCTTTGAAACACCAGTAACGGCGCTTCCAGCATCACAGCAACACATGCGCAAGCCACCGCTGCGAGACAAACCAACAGACAGGTGGTAGGGTGACCTATAGGGTGCTTAAAAAAAGGACCCATGGAAAAAGTTCCCATTACCTTTCCATTCCGTTTTTTATCTCTCCACAGCCTTTTTGAAGCCTCCCCCCATATAAGACATGATGTCGCAGCACTTGAGAATAAGCCAGCTGTGCCCAGCAAGTGGTAGGCTCATCGGCATCAGGTGCAAAGGTGGATGGTGTCCCTGCTTTTTGCAGCAGCCAGGCTAGAAGAAAGCTGGTTCCAGGGAGGTTGGCGCCCCCACCCCCCACCCCGAGGGTAAACCCTGTTGAAGGAGAGCCAGCGCCCCCAAGGGATGGCGTTGTCCCAGTGAGCCCAGTGCACGATTGACCCATCACCTGCATCTGGGAAGAGCCCGTGAATGGCTTCAGGGCAGCCAGAGGCAGCCTCACCGGTGGTTCCCAGTCTGGCCTTTGTTGGGGTCACCTGCCGGGCTTCCACCTGAGCAGCCAAGAGGCTTGGGCTTGCTGGCTTGGGGATGAATAGCAGATAGCATGTGGGCTCTTCTCTGGATGGTGGGGCCATGTGCCCTTGACCTTCCACTCTTGAGCCTCTGCCCTCTCGGGGTCCTGGCTGCCTCAATGACTCCCTTTGCTGTAGCAGTGAGCACCCCAGGGCCGCTGTAAGCATGCTGGACCAGACTTGGGGTGACGGATGGAGCCATCATTTCCCGGCAGAGCAGGCTGGTTAGTGGCCCTCCGGTGAGCAGCAGGGGTTCCCCAGACGTCACTTCCTCCTCTGTTCCCTGTAGCCAGTGGACAGATCTGGAAGAAGTGGGGGCCTGTCTCCACAGACACCTCTGGACCCCCAGCCCCCTGGCACACCTGCACACCAGGAATCCCTCTCCTCTTGGAGACGGGTCTTTGGCAGAGAGGGCACCTCACACCCACAGCCTCATCCTGGCTGTTGGCTGCTCAGTGTTCTCCGTGCCCCTCCTAGGCAGTGAGGCCCGTCTTGTCTGGCACCCCGAGGCCTGCCTTCAGGGCTCAGCTGCCGCCGGGAGCCACTTTAGAAGGACGAAGCCTAGGTTTTACACACATGGAAAGGGCAGAACCCGAGACTGGCCCTCAAACAATGTGCACGTAGGGGGCTTTCGGAGCCGCTTTCCCAGGGAAGGTCTCCCCTCCGGCTCTAGCTAGGCAGACAGGAGTTTCTCCTGACTCTGCCCAGTCTCCCGGGCTGACTTTGCATGCTGCTTGATGTACCAGCAGGGCCAGGAGGAAGCAGCTAAGGTCCCTACCACCATCCTGCCTCAATGAACAGCCAGATCCTACCAGGCCTCTCAGCACTTGGAGCATCTAGTAAACTCCCTAAACTTTTAGGTGCTCTTTAAACTGAGTGTTAGCGTTTTCCGCCTTCAAAGCTACTGGGGGTTGGGCTTTGGGGGAGGTTGGGTAAGCGCCCTAACTGCTGATGGCCACAGGGAGAACTTGAAGTTCCAGAAGGTGAAGCAGCTTCCTTAAGGCCAGAGAAGAGAAAGCTGTGGGGCCAGCCTGTGTTTGGCTGGGTGCTCTCTGTGTCCTGGGACTCAGCAGGGGGGGGGCCCTATCTTTCAAGATCATCGAACTGTTTTCTTAAATAGAACAAAAACCCAGTGACTCTTACCCAGCATGTTCTGGGTGGATGTTGGCGTACGTGATTCAGATAGTATCTGTCACCTGAGCAGAGAGTCCTGGTGGTGTCGTGGTTACGCGCTGGGCTGTGATCCACCTGGGCGGCAGTTCGAAACCACCAGCAGCTCTGCAGGAGACAGGACTTCCCACTCCCGTAAACAGTCAGTCTCGGAAGCCCACGGGGGGTCACTGTGAGTCGGCATGGACTCGATGGCAGGGAGCTGTTGTCACCTAAGGAGAGCTGGGACAGTCCTGGGTTAAGTGTCAGAGCTGCGGACAGTACAGCCAGTGGACAAGCCCACCAGCTGCCCCGGGGGAGAAAAGAGGAGGCGTCCTGCTCCCATAAAGAGTGGCCGTCTCGGGGCAGCTCTGCTCGGTCCCGCAGGTTTGCTGAGTCAGAATCCACTCAACGGGAGTGAGTCGGCCCAGGTCCTCATCGCCTCTCCCCTCAGTCCCTTCTGCGGTCGTTGTGTCTCCAGCTCTTCTCTTCCCAGCAGCCGGAAAGTAGTCTGAAAGACCAGCCCGGTCCTGTCTTAACTACTGCCTGTCCTGTTCTCTGGTGCCCCATTTCATGTAGAGCAGCAGTTCTCAACCTTTGGGATTCGAAAGACCCTTTCGCCGGGGTTGCCCAATTTATAACAGTAGCAAAATTACAGTGAGGATGTAGCCACGAAAATTAGTTTATGGTTGGGGGTCACCACCACACTAGGAACTATATTAAAAGGTCATGGCGTTAGGAAGGTTGAGAACCACTGATGTCCAGGAAAGGCCTTGTCATAATCAGTTGTGTTCTGGAGCCTTCTGTGAGCATGTCTCCCTGAGGTCACTTGCCCTCCGGCCCCAGAGCCTCCTGGCTGCTTCCCACATGGGCAGGCCCACTTCCCACAAGACCTTGCTTCTCTGCTTGAAACACCCTTTTCCCACATAGCCACCGCGCCCTCTCCGTGGCTGCCCTCAGCTCTCAGCACAAATACTGTGTATTGTAAGACCTCTCCTCGCCTCGACACCCCAGGCCTAGAGCCTCATCTCGCACACACCCCTTCACCCCCCTGCCTGCTTCTGCTGTTCTCACCCCAATCCTTTCCTCCGTTTATCACGGGGTGACCTCTTGGTCTGTGATGTGTGACCTCTTGGTCCATTCGTGATGACTTTGGCCTTCTTCGCACTGGATAAGAAGCTCACAAGGATGGTAGGGACCGATTTTGTTGACGTCCCCTCAGCAGCAAGCACGACCGCCAGCACCTCGGATACAAGATCCCATGCTGCAGGGATGGCCTGGCTGACGTGGCCCGCGCCACTGGCTCCCAGCACTGAGAATGGGTGTGGAGGCATGCCAGCTGATCATAGTGCCCGTGTAGAAACTGGTGTGAAGACGGGCTCGCCGACCTGGGAGCCCACCTGCGTTCTCTCATCCTGAAACGGGCAGGCTTTCCTGCGCAAGGCCCAGGGAGGGCAAGGAGCAGTCGCAGGAATCCCCGGCCTGTGCTCCTGAACACCGGGGACCAACTCCGAGCCCTCGCCGCCGCCGCAACCCTCTAGCTGCAGACGTGCCTGGGTTCAGGGTGGGTCCACGGGGGGCTGAGGGACAGTCCTTTATAAACCTGCTCACCTGAGACGTGTTAGTTGCCTGCTCCATGCTCGAATACTGTTGAGATTTAGCATCAAAGTCCCCAAGCCGTTACAATACGGAGGAGTTGAGTCGTCGCTTCTCACAGCCTGAGGTTCACAGACCAATCATTCCTTATGTTTTTCCTCCTTTTCCTTCCCTGTAGTGTTGCCTGGAATACCAGGGAGTCGGAAGCGATCGTGCTTTGGGATCACGCCTTGCTGTGGATCGAGGAAGATTCCTGAGCTTGCTCTCTGAGAGGAGCTGCTTTCCTGCGGAGAACTGTCTCCGGTGAGGTCTCTCCAAATCCCAGCAGCCCCTCTCTTGCAATGCAGATAAAGATGATGAAGGACGTGGGGCAGCCTCTGTACATTCCACAGGTGAACGACAGGTCCAGCTCCTTGACCATGTCACCCAAGCAGCCCCACGGCAACAGCGTGGCTGGAGCCGATGGACGAGAAGGCCACGCCCTCTTGTGCCAGGACCCCGAGAGGGAAGCCGCCATGATGACCATTGCTACGTGTACCAAGTGCAAAAGCATCCACAGGGTTCCCCTGCAGGACTTCCTCTTGGGCACTGGACAGGGCCAAAGGGAAGACCCGTACATCTGTTTCAAGTGCAGCCTGGGGGTGCCTCCCCACCGCTTCCACTTTGTGAATCACAGTCTCGGGACCACCCACTTCGGCAATGGCACCGATGCCCTCTCTGGCCCCATCCCCAGTAAGTTCAAGGTGAGGAACTTCAAGCCTGGCAAATACTACTGTGACAAGTGCCGGTTTTCCACCAAGGACGCTCTGCAGTACCGGAAGCACACGCTCCAGCACGAGGAGATCAAGTTCATTTGCTCCCACTGCAGCCACATCTCCTACACCAAGGGGGAGTTCCAGAGGCACCTGGTGAAGCACACGGGCATATTCCCCTACCAGTGTGAGTACTGCGACTACGGCGCCATCCGGAACGACTACATCGTCAAGCACAGGAAGCGGGTGCATGAGAAGGCCGGTGGTGGCGCCAAGCGGTCGCCCAAAGCCGTGGCCAAGCTGGAGCTGAAGGGAAGCAGCCCGTCGAAGCCAAGCCCTGAGCTTTCTGCAGCCCCGGCCCCAAAGACTCTCTTCCAGGACAGGCTGCCTGATCCGCCGGCCAGGTTCCCCCTGCCCGCTCGGAAAGACGGGCTGCCCGGCGTCTCGCTGCTGCCAGAGGCTAAGGCGCGCCAGAAAGACGTCGTGTGCATCCCGAGCAGGGCGGCGCCGGCCTCGGAGCCCGGCGAGGCCAAGGGCTTTGAGAACAAGAGCGTGGAGGTGGAAGTGCTGTCCCCCACCAAGGAGCCCGTCCAGCCAGGCATGCCGCTCACGGTGGTGGCACCCGCCGAGCTTGTCGTCCCTGCCAACTGCCTGGCGCAGTTGATGGACGTGAAGGTGGTCAACGGGACGCAGCAGCTCGTTCTGAAGCTGTTTCCGCTGGAAGAAAACGGAGGCCCCAAGGCGGGCGGCAGCGGCGACGGGGACGGTCCCCCCGAGGCTCTGGCGAAGGAGAAGGGCTCCAAGACGCCGGAAAGAGCCTGCTCTCCAGAGCGAGCAAGGCCACCGACCATGGAGGAGACCCTCGGGACCCTCCTGGGCTTCGATGGTCTTCAGCCGGCGGGGCGCCATCCCCTTGGAAACGTGAAATGGGTCAGGCCGTACGATTTCCTCACACTGAACCCTCGTGTGCTCCCCAAAGGAGAAGCCCTGCTCAGCCCCCGGAGAGGTCAGGATGCTCAGGAGAGCGGGCACCTGTATGCACATAGAACCACACTACCTCCTCCCACGGTCCTGAAAGGTCATCGCCCCCCGCCGCCCGCCCTCAAAGCCAGTGCTCGGTGTGGCCCGGGCGCCGCTCCAAACCCTTTTCCTTATCAGCTTGGCGCGTCCTTCCCTCAAGACGGGTGGAGGCTACCCAGTGACCTGTTGCCCGTGTTCCCTCTCCGGGCCGCGCCTCCCGTGGCGCCCTCCTTCCCGGGGGAGAGGGGCCTGCTGCCCAGCAGTGAAACCGGCCTGGAACCCAGCGGGGAGCTCAGCATCCCTCTTAAGATGTTTTCCTCCCACTGGAAGCCGAAGGACGGCCAGGCAGGGGCAGCGGCCAAGCCGGGTCACGCCGCCTCGCCTCCGAAAAGCGAGCATTCCCACCTGGACCTCCCCGGAGACGCCGGGCCCGGGCCACAGCCGCCCAGGGGGGCCCCTGCGGAGCTCAAGCACGCCGAGAGGGGCAGCCGCGGCCCCGACCCCGACGGCCCCGTCATCTCCTCGGTGTTTTCTCTGAGCTCCGGCTCCCAGAATGTCCCCGAGAGCATCAGGTGGACCAGCTCGACGTCCAAAATCAAGTCGATCGAACTGCTGCGCCAAAAGATCGCCCAGCTCATCGAGTCCTGCGGCCGGCCTTCGGCCTTGGCCGCGGGCGGCGCCCCTCGTCAGCGCGTGGCCCGGGCCGAAAAGGAAGCCCCGGGTGCCTCCTCGGAAGCGGTCCAGGAAATCAGTGTGTCACTCACAGGGCCTGGGGTTCCCGCAGGTGCCCCTCCAGACGCCCGGGATGACGGCGGTGGCTGTGGGCTCACCCGGGAGCCGGCAAAGGACTGCAGTGCTGCAGAGGCCGAGCGCAGCTTGGCCGAGAAGGCTGTTGCCGCACCTGTGTTGATCCCCAAAGGGGCTGTGTTGAGGGTTCTCAACTCCTCTGAGGACGCCCACGTGATAGAGGCCACGTGTGAGGCACCTGTCAGTCTGCCCTGCAGTGATGCACAGGTAGTAAATCCCATCCCACTCTGCCCGCCGAGACAGACAGACTCGGACTCTCAGGCACAGGAGAGGGGGCCAGTAGATGCGCCCCAAAGCCTCGAGCCACCCTCTCGGCCAAAGCCAAAAAAGGAGAGTGCCGTGGGCAGCAGCGCCCCTTCCAGAAAAACCGTTCCCCCGCACAGACAACAGGGCAGCAGGAAGTGGGGCAAGCCAAGGAGACTGCTCTCCCGGAACCTCACCATGAGCCGAAGTAAAACCAAGCAGGTGAGCTCGTCCAAGAGGAAGAGCAGGAGCCAGGCCCACGTCAACCACTGCCTCAAAGACCCGTCCATCTTCCAAGTGGCCAGGCACCTTCGGCTCATAGCGGTCAAACCGGACCAACTGATTAAATGCCCGCGCCGCAACCAGCCGGTCATCGTGCTGAACCATCCCGACGTGGACTCGCCGGAGGTGACCAACGTGATGAAGGTCATAAACAAGTACAAAGGCAACGTCCTCAAAGTGGTCTTATCTGAGAGGACCCGCTGCCAGCTGTGCATCCGGCGGCACCAAGTGCGCCTCACCTACCAGGACGAGGCGGGCGCCAGTCGGGCCAAAAGGCAGACGATGCTGAAGATGAAGCTGAAAAAGGTTCACAAGAACAACTACCAGGTGGTGGACTCCCTGGCCGGCGACTCCGCGCAGTGTATATTCAAGTGCTGGTTCTGTGGGCGGCTGTACGAAGACCAGGAGGAGTGGATGAGCCATGGCCAACGGCACTTGATAGAAGCCACTCGAGATTGGGATATTCTTTCTTCCAAGGGCACATAGCTTTAGGGGAAGAGGAAAAATGAGGTCCGAAGCAAATGGTTACTTTTGTGTTTGGCTTGGGTTTGACTCCCCTCCCTGCCTTCTCTGGAGGGGTAGAAGAGGTCTCCCCTGGGGACATTGAAAGCCAGCGGTCTCGGCCTGAGCTCTGACTGAGCCGCTGAAGAAGGCATCCAAAGGGCTCCTCCCCTTCAGTTGTACACACGAACAAGTGTCCATGCATCTCTTTTACAGAGAGCGTAGGGAAACGTTTTGAGTCAATGACCAGTGAGACCTGAGCCCCCCCTTTTCCTGCACCCCTTTTTCTGCGAAGACTGAGCCCCTTTCATCATCCATGGAGAATGACATGCTCAGAATGAGACAACAGCGTGCCGCGGTTGCAGAAGTAAACTTGAGTGTCTGCACCCTTAACCAAGAGCTGCCTGGACGCAGCTCAGCAGGTTACGGAAATGATGTCCAATGTCTTTTGCATCATGACCCTAGGTTGGGGGGGTTGTTCTTTTCAATCCTTCCCCGCCCTGTACCATTTGGAAAAAGTTCTGTGTAGCACAGTAGTTGTGCCTTTGTTAGCCGTTGTGTAGAAGAGGCGCCAAGGTGTGCCCTAACCTCCCCATTCAAGAGCAGGCATTGGAGGAAGGAAGAGAAAGCCTTTCAAGCATTTAGTGTCAGCTCTCCCTGTACGGAGCCTGATGACGATGCCAGAAGAGCAGACGTGCCCTTTGCACAATCAGAAACGTAGCCTTGAGAAGGATCGAAAACATGACGCCCTTCTTGGTCCCCAACACTCCCACATACATCAGTGGCCAGACAGGGCTTCAGAGCACAGCCAGCACTTGAGAAGACCATTCCAGGTAGGGGCTATCTGAGACATGGTGGCGGTGGGACTCTGTGGTGTTCTGTCTCACGAAGTGGAAACTGCAGTTTCTTCCAGAGCCCTCTGGTGAGCGCCGAGTCTTTGTCCTTGGTCACTTGGGTCACGGACACGGCTCCCAGGCCATCACCAACCATTGGGACAGGACAGCTGCCCAGCTCACCCCCGGTCCCGGGAATCGACAGGATAGAGATAGCCTGCTATCTTTGCCCAGACTCTGGCCACCCCTGGTTTCCAGGGAGCCCCCCCCCTCCCGAAAGTCAGCATTGCTCCCGACCTCCAATCAGAACCTTTTGTATGAATTACAGAAAAGCCCACCCTGCTGTAGTTGGGATGTCATCCTTGCCTCTCCACTTAAGCTGGACACCTTCCTTCGAATCAAAAGATGCAAAGCAGCCCCCACTTGGGGGGTCTGTCTCCCATCAGGCCTTGTTCCTGAGGAGGGAGGAGGTCTTCCGGGTATAGTGAGCAGGCCCCGGGGTCTCTTGCATCTGGTAAACCGCATCAGTGAGTCTTTGTCATGTTAGGTATTCAATTGGAGACGCCCACCTCATCTTTCCCCCTAAACACGGGAGCATCTCCAGTTCTCTGACAGATAGGACTGTAATTGTTTGTAGTCGGCTCACTTGACAGATAATCAACATTCCTGTACACGGTTCTGTGCCAGCTCATGAAGTTGATTAATTGGCTTATTTCTATTGAAATTTAAAACTTGGCTGTATTGATCTTTGAGAGGTGTGTGTGGTGTGTGTGTATATAAATATTTTTTACCACATGAAAATAGCAGTAGCTAATTTTCTGATTTCCTATTTTCTAATGATCTGAGGGGCTGAAGACAAAGGTAAACTTTTTTATATTCTAGAAATAATTTATTTTGGAAGCACATTTTTGTAATAGTCTGATCTCATTTTTCAGGCCATGAAAGCACAGTGTGGGATGGAGTGTATTTTTCTGCACAAACTGGAGTGGGAGGGCGCTGTGGGTCATTTCCTTATACTCCGTCGTCTTTGCCTCAGCTGCACTTTCTAGGAAACGGTCCTGGGGTGCCACTTCGCTACATAAAACTGTATCCCAAAGTGTTAGCCACATCGAAAACCGTGTCCTCTGGCCAGAAGGCGGGACTCCCGAGATGTGGAGAGTAGAGGCTGTGATTGAATCGCTTTCTCTCTAGTTCTGTACCTGCCCCCCACACACAACGCGTCCTCCCCCCTCTGCAGCAGCATCTCTCAGAAGGCCAGCCGGAGAGTTGGGTCAGATTCACGTCAGTGTTGGGTTGATAATTTGCAGCATCACCTGTTTTTCAGGCACAACGTTTGGACCTGGATGGAGCTAAATTTTTACAGTTGAAACTGTAGTGTTGCTTTGGGGGTGTTCTTGGAACTTTTCGAAGGAGGTGTACCTGAAGTCATTTACAAATCAGGGAAGCAAAAAAATGTCTGCTTCCCTACATCATCGGGAGTTCCGGGACTAGGGCACGCTGATGAATTGCGAAATGCCACAGAAGGAAGACGTGGGATCAACTGTGTGGAGCGCTGTGCAGCCTCTGTCCTGAAGGCTCTGTACTTGGCATGTGTTATTATGGATAGTTAATAAAATTATTTAAACTTGGCTTTTGAAAGTAGGTTTTCTTACTTTTTGAGGGACCAGAAATGAGATGGTCTTGTTTTATTTCTGGCACACAAGTAGCGTAAGAAAGTTAAAGTAACAGTTTACCCTAATAGACGACCTCTTATTCCCAGACATTTGTGAGCCCCTGCTTCGAGCCAAGCAGATGTTAAACTCAGCTGAACAGAACACACACAAAGCTCTTTGAAGAGCCATCCCTGGCCTCTAGGATGTACAGCTAGGCGCTCCAGGTGCCAGTTCCACATCCTTGGATACAGCCACCACAGACTGAAAATGCTCAAGGGAAAAACAATCACTACACGTGGTTGACGCCAGTCCTCAGAGGCTCAGAGGGAGCCCAAAGTGCATTGACCTTGCGCAAGATGGCATCTGTCATCTAGATTCGAGGGGTGACTAAACCATCCCAGGGAAGAAGCCGTGCTGCCTGGCCCGTGGGCTAACACCACGAGCAGAAAGCAAAACCCTGCTTCACACATTCGGAGTATTACAAAGCCCCGTGTTGGCAATCGTGTGTGTGCATGCTGCTTTGGTTTCGAAGCAGGCGTGTGTGCATTGACGGAGATGCTGTCGCAAACTTTGTTCAATAAAACGTCTGTGCACCGGCTTCTGCCCTCTAATTTCCAGTGTGGAGCAAGGTGGCCAGTTTAGTGCCCAGCCTGCCAGGTGTGCATTTCTTAGCCCCACAAAGGCATCTTATCTGCACAATAGCTGGTTGGAAACCCACTGGGATGCACTTTGAGTTGGGCACACTGGTGGTTCAACCTAAGGCCATGTTGCTTTCTGTTTGGCTGTATTCCCAGGAGTTGCTGGCAGTTCTATTGTGATGAAGCCTTTCAAGAGAGGAGGCAGATTTGCACCTAGCCTGCCCTCCTTGCTTGCCTCAGGTGGGAGGGGGGCCTTGACTGGAAGATTCCCCAAGCAGTCTATGGACCTATCGGGCCATAAGACTCATTGTGGGTATCCCCCACCCCCCTTGCACATGGACACGATTCACCCACCTGGGAGGGAAGGGTGTGGGGACTGAGTCTGACCCTGCATCTCACACCCAAGACCCAAGGGTTCCAAAGAGGAAGATAAGGGAATTGAACACTGGAGACCCTTGGCGGGGAGGGAGATGAAGTGGCATGAGTTGCTTAAACTCAGCTGTTTGTCGGGTTCATCTTTTTATCTCAGTCCGTGTCCTCTAGAATGCTATAAAAACCAGGGTCATGTTGTATTTTCAGTGGTTGATTGAAGGGTAAGTCAGGATCAAGCAAGGCAGTGGGTGCCTGAGCTGGGGTTTGTATTGAACATAAGCCACCACTGGTAGGTGAACCAGAGACTTGGATGGAAAGTATGCACATAGGAAAGGGCAG